TTGCACAGAGTTCTTCCATATTTCTGGCAAAGCCAGGCAGGCGCAGCGACTAGAAAGCGACTTATTATGCATTAGCAGATGTCAAATTTGTTTGCCAGTTTGTGCCACTGGAAGTAAAAAGAATTATATATGATTTTATTTATTGTTTTTTTCATATACATCTATGTAAAGTTTATCTGGGTCTCGGCTGCAGCCTTGTGTCTCGACAGATGACAGACGTCTGATATGTGTCTGACACGGTGTGGTATCAAAGTTATAAATCATTATGTGTTTTCTATGCTCAGCTGCTTTGCATTTGGCTAATTAGTTTGCTGGCGCTTTAAAGCATATTATTCATAAGCCTTATGGCAACGCTGACAATGCTGTTGTCCAACAATCAGACTCACGGACACGGCCAGCCGCCTACGCGGATTTCGGATTTCGAATTTCGGCCTTCGTCCTTTGTCGTTCGGTGGACAGGCCGTTTGCTTCACTTACGATAATTGTCGCGTTCATTTTTCATTTGACAACGTGAGACAGCTACACTTACAGCTCCAGCCTTGACAACTTGCGGGCTGTGACAGTTGCGATGAAAAAGAGAAGAGAAATTATTTTATATATTAACTCAGAGAGAAGAAACCGCCCCCGCATACATACATGCAGAACGAGTGCTGCAATAACGTTTGCAATAATTCAATAAGAGTTGGTTCATTTGTCATATTGATCATACGCCATGTGTAACGGCAACGGCAACGGCAACGGCAACTGCAATGGCATCGGCATTGGCCACGGAAACGGAAACAGTGGCGGGCAAGTGAAAGCTCTCAGAGCCCCCATGCATTACCCCACTTCTGCTCGCATAGCCCATTATAATAAATATTTGATTATATTACATACTTTGCAAGGCTTTAAGTTGCAAGCTTCGGGAAAATTGAGCTGAATAGAGCTGCTGCCTTTACTGCCGCAGCGTTGACCCAGTTGCCCAGAAACTGAGCTCAGCTCGAAAGGTAGAGAAAAGCAAATTGAATGGCTTTGCCCTCAACTCCAGATAAGCAGCTGCAGTTCAATGCACTTTTCGTTTGCCTACATATCGAAGAGCCCGAGGGCGGTTACGTGAGTTGTGAATGCGCAAGTTGTGAAGGTATGGAAGAAGTTTTGGTTAATTGA